TTCTGCATTTAATAGTTTTACCAAATATTCTAGTATCAGTAAGATACATGGTTCTAAGAAAAAAAGAAAGAGACCATCTGTTATGTTTATGCAGCATGGATACCATGGGTATCACAAAGAAATATAATTCAAGCACTATACTAACTAATTGGGTAGCTAAGAAAAGAGAATGTGGAAAAATACACAATAAAATATTTGATTTTAAAGTTCCTTAGCTATAGACTAATTTATGGCTATAAAAACAAATCATGGCTTTGTTTGGAGCTACAAGATAAAAAATAATCTATTTGCCTCTTCCTCATTCATTTCATTTGAAGCCAGGCAGAGAAGGAGAGCCCATTCTTAGCATCATACCATGGACTACTTTTGGGTTTGCCTTCTTTTCTGGCCTTCCTCGATCTTCTTTTCCCCCGTATCAGTCAGTTAACTGCATAGTGGCCATTTTTCTCCCTCCATCCATTTAAGGTCAACTGTTTTCTAAAATTCTTCATCATGTATATTTAATGGTCCTTTGAGGATGGCAGTGTTAAAGAAACTTATTCATAATATATGCTTCATCACGTACTTGAAAGATTAAGATTTTATTTTTCTAGAATAAGAGATGATTTTTCTAAACATTTTTGTCAGGTATCAATACCCTAAAAATGATATTGGGTAGTGAGGGAAGTTATGGCCCAAATTAATTAAACATAAGGGGTGTGTGTGTGTGTGTGTATGTGAATGTGTTTGTGTGTCTGTAGGGAGTTTGGTATGTTGGAAGTGCAGGGAGCCGGAAGGGAAGGATCATAGGGCCCACAGAGACTTACCATCCTGTTTTCATCATTCTCCATCTGTTAAAAATATACCCACCTACATTTTAAGGCTTAGAGCATTATCCAGCTCAAGTTCCTGGGCCAGTTTTTTGTTTTTTGTTTCTGTTTTATTTATTTATTTTTGTAAGCAGAGGTGCCCATAAATATTTTTATCACCAGCTTTTTACAAGAACAAGAACAATACTCACCCAAACTGGACAGTTCTCATGCTTCTGTCATATCTCAATCTTAAGGCAACCCAATCCTTCTTACCAGTATGTGCTAATTTTAACCCCATCTCTGATTCTCCTCCTCTCATTCCATCCTTTCTCAGCCTCAAGTCATCTAAATGCATGTTTTATATTTTCTGGCACTTCTGACATTTAAGTTTGTATTTAATGATTTCTTGCCACAATCTTCAGTATCTGACATCTTGGAACACTATCATTATCTTATTTCTACCTCTAGTTACAATGTTTCTGACAAGAGTGAATCATTACAGTGGAGCCTCTTAATAGGGGCATTACTGTAGCAATAAAAGATGTAAATTGCAGTTGCAAACACCCTAGAAGAGAAATCATGGAACAGTGATCAATGATTAGATGAACTGCACATATAATTACATACATATAAGGTCAGATGAATCACTTGAGCTGAAAAGGACAGGAAAGTTTTAAGAGGGAGAATTAGAATATTTTAGAGAAATACAATTTGAATAGGGAGCAGATAAAGTCGTGAAAGTATTACAACAAGTGGGGCAGGTTAAACAGAAGTATAAAACAAAGAAAACGTGCACATTTAAAGAATAAAAGTATTAGTAAACAATACTTGTAATACCTGCATTGTTACTGATCCATCCCTAGTAGAGCATGCTATGCTGTTTTGGGGATTTTGTCCCTTTTCTTTGATGGGGGTGGATTTGCATGGAATATAAACTTTAAAGCTCTATGTAACTGATTAATAAGGCAGATTCTAGATATATCTCTTAAACTCGAGGCTTTTATAAAAATCTTAAACATTTCCTGTCTAATAGCGTTATTGGCAATAATAAACCTTTCAAAACACTAATTTAAAGTCATATCAAGTTGAGTCTCAACCAGAACTATACTAATGTCTATAATTAGGGTCAGTGTAAATCAAGGGGTCTCCTGTAGCTGCTAGAAAGAATGAATCTCCCAGATGCAACAGATGATAACTTTAAAGGCTATGCTGAGGGGGATTTTCCCGAGACTTCTGATGTCCCTTGACTAAGTTACATGTACCATCAACAAGTCACTTTGCAGCATCAGTGACCTGCACACAGCTCTCTAAATTCAGAGAAGGTTCAGCAGCTTGGGCCCCTGAGAAGGTATTTGGGAAGTTTCCCAGTTTGTGTGCTGCATAAGCTGGAGGCAGTATAGTGATAATTAATAAAGTGCCAGACTGGATAATTGCAGGAACTGTAAAAGATACTCAAATGTTGTTACCAGAGGTACAGACACACCTGTGAACGTGTGAGGTTAATTTGTTTGAGGCACGTGACATCACGTGAGAGTGGATGGGACTAGGAGGTGAGATGTTCTTTAAAATAATTCAGATGGGGAAGTGCTCTTCCAAAACATAAAGAAAGGAACTCCTGCTGGTGGGATAATGCAGGGTTTATTAAAGGAGTTTCTCCTATATTCTTTTGTTATGTGTGCTCATCTTCTTGACCAATTTTTAAATAACAGTAAACCTCCCCTTACTGTGTTACAACACCCCCCTTGATAGTGTAATGTTGAGAGACATGAGACCTTGTTTTCTCATCGTCACCCAAATTCTGTGCAGACTCGGGAGCACCTGGGTGGCTCAGTCAGTTAAGCATCCACCTGTTGATTTCGGCTCAGGTCATGATCTCAGGGTCCTGAGACTAAGCCCTGCATCCAGCTCCATGCTCAGTAGGGAGTCTGCTTGAGGATTCTCTCCTTCTCCCTCTGCCCCTCACTAGCCCCATCCCTGCTCATTTTCTCTCTCTCTCTCAAATAAAAATAAATCTTTTTTTAAAAAATTCTGCGCAGACCAACTTCCATTGGGTTTCCATACAGAAAAAGGAAGAATAAGGAAGAGGGTACCTGTGTCAATATTTATCTTGAGAATGGTTGAGAACTATTGAGAACTACAAAATTATAAGCAATTTACAGAGCTGATGATAGATGAATGGTAGCTCTGTTGTTATCATTGCTTGTTATTTCCATTGTTATTGAAATGGATTTTTAAAAAATTAAAACTAAAATCTTTTGAGATGAATTACTGCCAATGATTATTCTGACCTTCTCCTAAAGTGTCTTATACAAAAGCTGTATAAGATAGATGTATGTAGGTAAAACCTCCAAATCTTAGCATTGCCATATAACAGTATTTTCTTCCAGACCACTCCATTCTCTTGCCTTTCTGGCTCAGAGATTAACTGTGTTATTCCAGTACAATTTTCTGATTCCACCTGGGTATCCTACAAGTCTATTCAATTCTGACTAACCAGAATTAGTATAGACCCTCCAGGTTGAGGACTCGGTGACTGTCCCTGTTCAGATGCCACCTGCATGTCCCAAGTCTCCAGGCTACCTGCATCTCAGTCTAACTTGACTGTACATTTGGTGGTTCCCACAATCTTCCTTCAGGTTTGATAATTTGCTAGAAAGATACAGAAAGTGCTATACTTAAGATTACTGGCTTATTTTAGAAGCTACAAATGAAGAGCGAAATGAACTGGTAAATAGGGCAAGTCCAGAAGGGTCCGAGCATAGTCTCTGTCTCTGTGGAGTTGGGAGGTGCCACCTTCCTGGTATGTCGATATGTTTACTAACAAGGAAGTACCTCCAAACTTCATCATTCACAGATTTTTATTGAGGTCTCATTACGTAGGCATGATTAACTACATCATTGGCCATGTGACTGAACTCCATCTTCCATCCCTCTATCCACCCTGAACTCCAATTATGGTGGAAAGTTCTAATTCTTTAATCAGGTGGTTGATTCCTTTGGTGGGTAGCCTCCCTCCAGAAGCTGTCTAACCATCCTCCCCCCACCTCTACCCCTTGAGTCATCTCAGTGGCATAAACCAAGTATGGTCAAAGGGAACTAATTTAATTAATTAATAAAAAATGACACTCCTATCACTCAGAAAATCCCAAGCATTTTAGGAGCTTTATGCAAGGGATCAGAGAAAAAGACTAAATGTATATATATATTTATTATACCACACAAGCTTCCTTCAAATATTAATTAGTCTGAGTTTCTTGTTTTTTCCATTGTGTTTTGAGGGTTTCTAAGTATAAAAACCCTTACTTCACCCTTTTTCATTGTTCACAGACAACAGTCTTATAGAAATTGGCCTGGTGTAAGGTGTATGAAATTATTTACATATGTATTTCGCTCCAAAACCCATACAGACTAGTTTGCCTGTAATGCATATACAGTCCATTTTATCTTTTGTTTGTATTTTGTAGGCTTTTGATGCATTAACTCAACTTGTTTGCCTTCTCTTTAGATCTGAAATTAAATATAATCTTTATTTCAAATAAAATTATTTCTCCACCCTCAATGTATTTCTCTTTCACTTTATTTTCAATTCTTTCTGACATTAGGTCTATTCAATGATAGAATTATAGGATCAAAATTAAGCAGGTACAGTATAGTTATAATCAAGTATAATCAGTTATTTGTGTTTTAATTAATTTTATTATGGGAGTATCCTCTAAGGAGACTCTGTCTTTAAGTATCTTCTTTTAAATACAAGTATGCAACCTATAAGAAAACAAAAGTACAAAGACAAAAAATCATGACATCACAGCATGTTACTGTTTCTTTTTTTAATTTAATTCAACATGCAAATATAAAAGCATTTTGCTTACCTGTGAAGTTGTGATTTTTTGCCTTTCTTTTCTTTTAATGAAAATATTAACATAGTCTGTAAATGATAACATGTAAAAAAGATATGCTAGCAAATTTTCTTCTTAAGGAAATGTCTAATATAGCCTCTAAGTTTTTATATCCATGTGAATAATCATACATACATATATACATGTATATGCATATTTATAATAAGAATGAAAATGCCTATACCACTCCCTGTGTTGTGATGAGAACTGAGATCTTTTTAAATATCTACATACCCAAATGCATATTAATGTCTCTGTTATTAAGCTTTTCACTGCTTTTATAACTGCCTTTTTTTTTTTTTTTAATTTCTAGGTAACCTTCAAAGCATCAAAACATTCAGTTTCACCAGATTTAAAATATGTTCTTCTGGCATATGATGTCAAACAGGTAAAGTAATGATCTTTGAAAAAACTTTTCTTTGTGATGCATTCAGGTAACAAGTCATAGTTTTACTTGGTCATCTACTCACGGAGAAAAAAATTGGCATATCCAATAGCTGCAGGGGGATACTGATAACCAATATTGCACGAGAGAGGTTTGGAGAAAGTGTCCTCTCTTCCATACCTGACTAGCAAATACCCGGCGCAGTCTACTAGGTGTGTGTGCTAGTCCTAGTCCATCTGGTTTAGAGGGGGGTGTGGCAGGTGTTTGGCAAATCTGACAAGTGGAGGCTTTTGCCATTTTCAGGACAGCCTTAATACAATGTGAGTGTTTCTTTTATGTATAGATGAAGGAGTTTCCTGATGGCTCTGCCCTGAGCTGCAGTGTGTATAATGGGAAGGGACTGGTGAAAACATTGATTCAGGTTATGGACAGTGGATTCTTTGGTGGTATTTGAGCATAAGCCTTGTGGTTATAGAAAATTCTGAAAGTGGGTCAAACCAAGGAATCAGTTCTGAACAAATAAAATGTTCTAATTGCAATTAGCATTTCATTATTCTGTGTCAGCTCTACAGCACACAATTAGAGCAATATGTATGGTTGTTGAGTGTTTTGTATTTAGATATAATTTGCACTGTTAAGAAGCAAAGTAAATGTTGAAAGGCAGTTCAGCAGATGAGTTTCTGTGGAAAATAAATGATTGGAAATCATTCAAGAAATTTTTATGTGCTTTAAGACAATAAAAATTTATAGACTTAAGGCAGGAGGCCTCATATGCATTGAAAGGCTTTGAGCACATGAAATTTCACAGCTCAGAGGACCTTCTAAATGATGACTTTATTAGTCTTTTGGAGTATACATGTGCTATATTTTTAGACATATTTATATATTTTTATTTAAAATAATTCACACTGCAAAAAACAGGGAGATTATAATGGAAGACATCTTTTCCTGTTATAAATCTCAGCCTTTTTACTTAAACTTTGCTCTGTAATATCTCTATTCATTGAGATTATGAAAAGCACATGTAATAGCAAGAAAAATACTTGTTTTATAAACAAGATATCACAGTTTCCCAGTTTTTAAATAATATTATCTATCTGAAGATTTTTAATTTACTGTAAATATGTGTTAAACTGATAATGAACTTAAGAGAAATCATGTTTCAGTAGCCACAATAATCAGGACTGTGTGGAATGAGCAGGATAGGTACAGAGATCAATGAAACAAAGTAGAGAACTAGGGCACAGACCTATACACATGTGCCTAACTGATTTTTGACAAAAATGTAAAAGTAATTCAGTGGAAGAAAAAATACACTTATATAAGCCTGGCACTATATAAAAACTCAGAATGGATTATGGATTTAAATGGAAAATATAAATTTATAAAACTTTTAGAAAACCCAAAACATAGCAGAAAATCAGTGGTATGTAGGAATAGGCAAAGAGTTCTCAAACTATATATCAAAGTCACAGTATAGACAAGAAAAAACTATTGGCCTATAAAAGATGAAAATCCACCCTACCGTCTGGGAGGAAGTATTTGCTATTCCCATATTCAACAAAGGACTAATATCTAGAATATATAGAAAAACTCTCAAAACTCAAGTTACAAAAAACAAAACAAGTATACCATCAGAAAATGGGCAAAGACATGAGACATTTCATTGAAGAGGACATACAGATCTCAAATGAAGCTCATGAAGATTATGTTCAACGTCATTAGCCATTCAGTAAATACAAATTGAAACAACAGTGGCATATGACTACATACCGATCAAAATGACCAAAAAAAAAAAAAAAAAATTAGTGACTACACCAAACCATAGAAAGCACCAGGAAGCTGGATCATTCATACATCTGTGTTGGGCATGTGTAAAGGTTCTGCTACTCTGGGATATGATGTATAAAATTAGGATAACTTTGGATATTTCAGCAAAATACATCAAGTTTATCAAAAAATACAGTGAACTGGGCGCCTGGGTGGCTCAGATGGTTAAGCGTCTGCCTTCGGCTCAGGTCATGATCCCAGGGTCTTGGGATCGAGTCCCACATCGGGCTCCCTGCTCCTTGGGAGCCTGCTTCTCCCTCTGCCTCTCTCTCTCTCTCTCTCTCTGTCTCTCGTGAATAAATAAATAAAAAAAAGTTTAAAAAAAAAAAAGTAACATGGAAACCTTGATAAAAAAAAAAAAATACAGTGAACACCAGAAACATATACCTTTGGACCAATCTTAATATTCTATCTCTTATTTTTGCTTCTCTTAAGGAAAAATAAAGATACTCTATGACACATCAATCTCTGGAAATGAGAGGAAGCGATTATTTTAAGAAGTAAATAAACTAAATTTCACAGTCTTATACTACTTCGTTCATGTTTTTTTTTCTTTTTATTTATTCATCACATATCAGGTGCAAACTATCAAGCTATACATAATGCATGGTGTGTGTGTGTGTGTGTGTGTATATGCGTGTGCATATCTACTTCAAGAAACACACAATCAGATAGAGGCAAGATGACACAAACACTTATATCCACTATACACAGCATTGTGTGAGTTGTTACAGGAGTGTATTAAGGAATAGAGAATATTTCCATTCAGATAATCATGTTGGGAAAGGCAGCATACGATGAGATTTGAAGAGCAGACAGGTAAAGATGAATGGAAAAGCATTCCAGGTGGGCTGAAAACACGGGGCTTCATGGAAGGAACATTAAGTCTTTGAGGAATAGCACTTAGTTCAGACTATCTAGCTCACTGGTAAATAACCAAAAAAAATAAACCTATATACCTAGTGGAGCTCAGATTACAGAAGAACTTGAATTCCATTTTATTCTTTATAGATTGTACTGAGATAACCATTTGGGATCTTTGATGGTTTTAGAGTAGTTAAATGCCATTTTTACTCTCTGTGTGTGTCTGTCTGTATGTGTTTGTGTGTGCGTGTGCATGTGCATAATGCCCATTAACAAAGATGGGAAAAAACAGACAAAATCCAACCACCTAAACACATCCACTAAAGTTATCTTTGGTGTGTTTTGTTCCTTTTCACTTTTATATGTAAAAGTAGGGAAATGGGAATTATCATATATTAAACATTATTTTAGGCAGGCATTATTATCCTGATTTCAGAGAGAAGAAAAGTTAATTTCAGAAAAGCTGAAAAATGTGGGATTTGATGATTTAGAAATTTATCTAAGGGACGCCTGGGTGGCTCAGTCGGTTAAGCATCTGCCTTCAGCTCAGGTCATGATCCCAGGGTCCTGGGATCAAGTCCCACATCGGGCTCCCTGCTCATCGGGGAGCCTGCTTCTCCCTCTGCCTGACACTCCCCCTGCTTGTGCTTTTCTGTCTCTCCCTCTCTGACAAATAAATAAATAAAATCTTTAAAAAAAATTTAGAAATTTATCCAAGATTTTTCAGTTAGGAAGTGATAGCCACACACTAACAAATTCTTATACAATATTTTGTCTTTTTTTTCATTATAAGACAGATGAGCTGAACCAGAGAAATATAATCAAAGGCTAGATTCCAACAACTCACAGATTATCCTTATTGTTGGACCTTAGTTGTCTTCATGTTTTAAAATATTTTGGAAATATTTTTAGTATATTCCCTTTTTCCTGAATTTAATATTTCTATAGGACACATTTACATAACTGGAATTTCTGAATCAAAGTATATAGCATTATTTAATTGAACTGAAATTCATAATAGTTAACACCAAATAAGCTGCCTTAAAGTGTACAATTCAGTGGCATTTAGTACATTCACAATGCTGTGCAGCTACCACCTCTCTCTAGTTCCAAAACATTTTTATCATGAAAAAGATAACCCCATACCCATTAGTCAGTCAGTCCCCATTCTCCCCTACTATACCTTTTGGTAACCACCAATCTGATTTCTATCTCTATGGGTTTATGCATTTGGATATGTAAATGGAATCATATGACATGTGATCTTTTTTTCTGGCATTTTTCACCTACCATAGTGTTTAGAAGTTTGTCCACATTGTAGTATGGGTCAGCACTTCATTAATTTTTTATGGTTAAACAATATCCCTTTGTATTTATATATTACAGTTTGTTTGTTCACTTATCCTTTGAAGAATATTTGCTTCATCCCCAACTTTTAGGTATTCTGAATAGTGAGGCTGTAAACATTTGTACACAAGAATTTCCTGAGTACCTATTTTCAATGTTTGTAGTATATTTTGAGGTGTGGAATTGCTGAGTAATATGCTAATTCTGTGTTTAACTTTTTGAGGAACCACCCAACTGCTTTCCAAAAGTGGCTGCACCATTTTATATTCCCACCAACAATGGATGAGTTCTGATTTCTCTGTATTCTCACTAACAGTTGTTATTTTCTGTTTTTCTTATTATGAATTATCCTATTGTGTATGAATTGGTATCTCATTGTGGTTTTGGTGTACACCTCCCTATTGACCAATGATGTTGAACATATTTTCATATGCTTGTTGGTCTTTTGTGTTTCTTCTTTGGAGGAATGCCTACTGAATTCCTTTGCCTATTTCTTTTTTCTTTTTGTAGTTGTGTTTAAGAGTTCCTTATATATTCTGAACAGTAGACTCTTACATAGGACTCGAAAATATTTTCTCCCACTCAATAGATTGTCTTTTCACTTTCTTGATAATGTCCTTTGATATGTAAATTTGAAAAAAATTCTGATTAAGTGTAATTTACACACATGCTTTTGGTGTCGTAGTTAAGAATCCATTTGCAAACTCAGGGTCATAAAGTTTTACCCCAGTGATTTTTTTCTGTAAGTGTTATGCTTTTAGTTCTTATATTTAGGTTACTGATTCACTTTGAATTAATTTTTGTATAGTGTGAGATAGGGGGTCCAAGTATAGCACAATATATAGGCTCGTGCTATATATTGAAACACTTCTTTCCAAACAGTTATGTTAGTTTATAACTGCCATTAGAGAATGTATGTCCTGTAATATTACCATCTTTACCAAGTTAAAACTATATTTTAA